GATGAAGATCTTTGTTTTTATAAACTTTACAAATTACTTCCAGTGGCAATACAATTAAAAATTTTCTTGTTTATTTAACCTAAGTATTTATTTTTTAATGTAATGTTACGGAGTTTTCCTTTAATTGTCGATTTTAGGTATTATTTATTTATTTATGTAATTAGCTGTGCAAGAAAAAAGGAGAAAAAAAAGCAATGCTATCATAGATTCAACGGCAAAAAACTTTAATAGAAACGGTTCACACTGTAAACAATAACTGTTAGAATTTATAAAATTCAACTGAATTTGTTCTGTCATCAGTGACTGCTAATGATAGAATTTAGTATTGGTGGAACACATTTTCATAGTGTTAATCTATTTTACCAAAAGTTTACTGATATAAATTTTAGACGATTATCAATTATGTTAGTTAGGAGGAGCTTTGTTTTTAGCATTTATGGCAGTTGACGGTAGTAAAACTAAATGTATTGTCCTGATATCGAGAAACTATTTATATTGGATCAGTTGAGAAACTTTTGATAGAATGCTTAGCTTGAAGTATAGTATATGATAAGGAAAAGTAAAATCTTGTTGGAATTGTTTTTGTTTTTCTTAATGCTCTCTACAGCTTAATATTTTTCTAAAATTAATGATACTCGTTGTTAAACTAAGTAACAATTGAGTTTTCTCTTTGTTTTGTTCAATGTTCAATGTTGTAAATAATTCAGGTGTTCCCTTAATGAAATTAAGGCAATTGGTTATGTTAGTTTTCAGCCATATAAGTCTGTTTTTTTTTCTTTCTTTGGAGGAAATAGACAACACAAAGGGGGTTTCAGTTTATGACAGAGGAGATGAGAGCAAATTTTCTTGAAAGCTAAGCTATAGTGCGACAAGAACTGCAGATAATATAATAAACTGGCAGTTGAGAATATTTTCAGAATAAAGGACATCTGTGCTCGTTTTTTTTCTCTTTTTTTAGCTTTAATTTAATAGATTTAATGGCCATATATATTTTTAAAAACGTGTATTTATATTTATATTTATATTTATATTTATATTTATATAATGTATAAGTTGACAACAAAGCGTAACAGGAGTGGAAGGGTGTTTCAAATAAAACAAGAAAAAAAATTTTTATTTAAGAGTATGTGATCCGCGATTTTTTTCATTAATTTTTCAATAATATTTTTTTCTTTTTTTTTGTTTTGGAAAGGTCATGAATGGTAAATGATTAGTTGGTGATCTTGAACTCTTTATGAAACGCTAAAGACTGAAGCTGTTAAATTCTGCTCTCTTGGGACACTTTAACTTCTTCTTCTTCTTCCTCAGCTAAAGTGAGGGAAGTATTTTGAGGAAAGGATTCTAAAAGCGAAACTATGAAAAGATGCAAAATACGAACTGAAGGAAAGGAAATAAAGGGATGCTGAATGATTG